TAGATCGTCCTGATGGTGGAAGCAGCAGTGACCTCTGAAACTATTATAAACTTTTACCAGACTGCATGACGTTACAACCCAGAAGGCAGCCATCTTCGTACTCACTGCCGTGAGAACTTGAGAAATTTCGTAATCTTCGTTATTTCTTTAGCCTATAATTTCAGCTTGTTAAGGCTGTCTGTGTTTGATGTGTAATTATCAGAGTTTCGTGGAAGTTTGGCTCCGGAATTTGGCAACACACCAACGAATAAAAACGTGGTGCTGGTTAAAAAACAAACAGAACTTTGTGTTTGAATATTTTGTGTCGAACTGTTACACTTGCATTCAGGACTCGTCCAGCTAAACACATAATGTTTTGTATGTGGGTCGTGACACAGTTTGTGTTCTTAGACAATTTAAATTTAGAATCGCGCTATAGAAACAGAAAAAAATTAATGCTGATGCATGTAATGCTAACCAGCGTAATCGGTGTCAAGTTTAAATTCGAAGAAACGGGCTGACGTTGTCCATCTTTTCTCGTACGAATTTGAGCATTGATCAGCTACGTGTTCTGTGACGGTCGAAAGGTCAAAACTTTTATTCGGCATCTTGGCTTGAGGCGAACGCGACGGTAGAAGCGTAATCGAAACCAGGACCTTTATTCAGAATCATTATGTACTCACCATTCATCATCATCATCATCATCATCACAGTCGAAGCTATGCAACCTGTGCGGTTGAAATGGCGTTGTTGAATAAAAAGTATAATTTACAAGCACCAGTCACTCTCAAGAGACTTTACAGCACGGATGTCAAGCTGTGGGCCGCGACAGAGAAGGCGATTGGTTTCCGGTTTCTCTCCGTGGAGGCTCGAGTTCACGCCGAGGTTAGTCCAGTCCAGTGGGATTGGGGTTGAACAGAATGGCGCTGGGACAGATTTTTCTCAGAGTCCTTTGCTTACCCTGTCGTTGTTATTATACGAGTGCTGCATCCATTTTCTACTGTTGATTGGGATTAATTTAGAACAACAGTATGGATCCTGATATTTCAAAAATATCGAGGTTGGCTTCTTCAATTTATATGCATTCATTTCGTCCACATAAGTATAAAGGCAGGCCCCATGGAAACTATAAAACTAATTTGTAAGTTATGGTCATATAGGTCCACATACAATGCTAATAATTTTGTACCTGGACTCGAACCCACGAAATGTCGAATTTTAGCGGTGTTAACCTTAGTTAATTTACAAATTATCTTCTTGCAGCAGTAAAAGTTTGGCCGTAATCGGACTGGTCTTTCCTAAATAATGGGGGATCGTAGGACCAATATTCAGTATACATTTTCGTACGTGTTTGCAAGAAAAAGTTGCGAAAATCTGCTCATTAGCTTTGACGTATCTCTTCTTATCTCTCTCTGCCTGTCCATCCGCATGTAAAAGCTCGATAGCAGCTAAACGGATTTTGATTAATTTTGATATGAGTCAGTTTTGCTAAAATTTGTCGACACATAACGGTTTGAGGTAAAAATGAACAGCAATCACGTACTTGCATTTCTGTTTTAATTTTAGCTTAAATTGCTGAATATTTATTGGAGCCAACACTTTACGATGTTCAGTTTCTGCTTTATGTGAAATGTCTGGTACACAGTGGCGTTTTAAATCCGCCCAACATTATGGTCTATTTAACAGTTTCTGATGTGCATTATAAGGACGGACAGACAGACAGACCGGGGAGGTAATGGCCCGAAAACACGCCGAAGCACCATAGATGATGATGATGACGACATACCGCGTTGTGCGTTATGCAATTTAAATTTCATGCCAAATTTTCGTAAAGTAAGTTTGAATATTTTTAAATGTGGTATGTAACATAAACATGCCTGTGATCATCAAGAATTTATACAGACAAAATTTTCATTCCTGAAATTTATCGTTCACTGTTAGGTATCAGTTATAAAGCTCGCACTATACCGTCTGCAGGGCCGACGGATAAAACATTATATGCGTTTTCACGGAGTTGATCCATTTTTATAGCCGCAGAAAAATTAATTTTTAGTACCAATCTAAACACCAGAAAGTCAGCTACTGGAACGTGCTTCGATATATTTAGTAAATGATACTGCAAGGAAGGAAAGAAACAGGGCTGAATTAGGAATACCAAAGAAAAGTTGGCGAGATGTATTGTGATGACGGAACAAGCAAATTTCTCAGTACGTGGAGTGAAAAATAATAATTCGAAATAAAAATGGAACTTGTCTCTAAATTGATATGGCAATACCAACTGACAGGAACGTAATTAAGAAGGAAGCGGAGAAGATCTTGAAATACAAGGACCTTCTCATTTAAACACAGCGAATGTGGAAAGTGAAAGCAAAAATAATTCCAATAATTATAGGAGCAACTGGAAGCATCTCCAAGTCACTTAGAATATATTTGGCCAACATCCCGGGCGAACACAACATCAGGGAACTGCAGAAAACTGTCATTTTAGGATCTTCATACATCATTCGAAAGACGCTGTCGTATAATATATAGGCATCTCTAAAACTTATTTATTTATTTTATTTAGTGTTCTGTCTGACGACAGGTCCATATGAACAGGATCCTTCCATCCTTTTCTCGGACTGGGACCTGTTCATATACGTTCTTGGCAGATGATCCAGAAGTGGTTTGACATTGCCTTCTTCTGTGTGTGAATGAAGTAATTGTTGGGATGCCACGGAGAAAAACTCCGTGTTGCCTAGACCACCACAAGTTATAAATTCGAACCCGAGACCCCAGGATTACAAGTTGAGGCTTCTCTAACACTAAGACTATATAATACATGTAACATGTATTAGAAACAAAATGTATTTCGGAAATAGCTGTTGCACTATGTACCTTAGGGGTAAGGTCTGTCTCGGGTATATAGAAGTAAATACCCTATAAAGTGGCGAATAGATGGGATAATAATAATAATAATAATAAAAAGGCGCTTTCATAAAATAAAATAATATAATACATGTAATACATATTAAAAACAAAATGTATCCCGGAAATAGCTGCTGCCCTATGTACCTTAGGGACAAGGTCTGTCTCGGGTACATGGAAGTACATACCCCATAAAGTGGTGAATAGATGGGATAATAATAATAATAACAATAATACGATGATGAAGAAGCAGCTGAGTCCTACTATTGTGTTGTAAGGTTCTTCCTCCAAACACTTGTAACAAGACGCACAAATAACTAGGTCGTGTTCAATACGTGGACCGAAGAAGGAACATAATAGGATTTGAATTTCCCTGCCGGTAATCAGTTGCAACACACGTAAGGGTTTTTCATGACGTATATCGGAACCACTAGTCCGTATATATAACAGAAAGTGGGTAGATGATTTCACTACTGAAAAAAGAGAGTTGTGCGAAGTTACGAAGGGTTACTTTGAAACAGTTATTACAAAATTCACAGGCTACATATGTGTGTCAGACATGTAGTTGTTAAGTCATAAAATAGTGTTTTGTATTTTTGTAACTGTCAGAGTTGAATTGTGATACAACGTATATATTGCATTTATAAGTCAGTTTATAAGTGACAGTCAATTATTAAATTAAATTGACAGTACTACCGTTCACAGTGGCCGTAGGCACCAGCTGCTATGGACCGCCCTAGCACTTTGATGGCGTGTTCGAATCCCGCATGAAACATGGTTGTATGAACACGTCTTTTGTAGTGTGACCCCCTATGTAGGTTAGCTTTGTAATGAGCCGATCGCCAGTTCAAGGAATTCTACCAATTGTGTAAAAGTGTTTATATTTTCAGAAATTAGTTTTCAATCAGAATAATCCAGAATTGAATCTGTAGTAGCTGAAGATTGCTGTCTTTTGGGTTGTTGCGCCGTGTAGTCTCATAGAAGTGTACCGACGTTTCAGAGGTGCTTGCTACCTCCATCATTAGAGTTGTGGGTAAACGTCCCTGAAATATCGGTGAATGTCTGACAGACTACACGGCGCAGCAACCCAGAAGACAGTCTTCGTACTCGCCGCCTTGAGAACCTCAAATTTCACTTAATATGAGTGTTAATTTTTTTTGGATCAGTTATCCAGTGGAAATACGTACATTGTTTTGTGCAACAATTTTTTTGCAATAAATGGTTCATAAAGAGATATATCGATACAGAAATCGTGATCAGTTTATTGCAACAGATATTCCAGTAACGTCGGAACATTTGTTTTCCCACTGCCAAGTGGCGGATTGTTTTCAAAGTTTATTGATAACCACCAACGCAGCTTATATTTTGCTGTCTATTACATGCTTCGACCTTACCAGGTCATCTTTAGGCGTAAATGTGAATGGCCTTTTACGTAGACGTGTATATGCATACAGAGTGTCTCATAAGGTCAATGCCATAGACGATCTCAGTCATTTGGTAAAATACGGAGAAATTAAAAGAGGGGGGTGTTGCAAATCACGTGTTTCTGATCACAGGTGTTGGAGTTTTTCACCTAGGACAGGCCGTAATGGCGCTACACTCTTTACATTATCAATAGTAAAAATTTGCTGCGATGTTACCATGTTGACTTGACAGCGAAAGGGGGACTCGTTTTCAGAGTTTCATGCAGCAATTTCTTCTCCGTCACTACCGCCTCCGTTATCAGGGCGATTCATCGCCCTGATGACGGAGGCAGTATGACCTCCGAAACGTTGGTAAATATCTACCGTACTATACGGCGCAACAACCCAGAAGACAGAAATCTTCATACTCACCGCTGTGAAAATCTCAAATCTTACATTTCCGTGTTTTGTCAAACATTTCTCCTGTGGCCTTGCACTTGTGAGACACTCTGTATATGTTACGTGCGCTACCAAAAACTTTTATTTAGTAAGTTAGTTAGTGCACTTACGAATTTTTGCATATCATCTAATAACAGGCCATTCAGAACTAAATCTCTACACCTGAAGATGGCATGGTTAGGTCGAAACATGTAGCAGACAGCACAACAAGATCTGTTGACCTTTATTTCCTTTTTATTGCCTTAAATACAGAACAGAATGCATCTTTAAAGTTGGCGGAATTCAACTCAGCCTTGCAAAGACCAATATGGAGACGGTTGCAGATGTAGAAAACAATAATTGTACATCAGTCAGCAACAGTCGCTCGACGCCTGTTCATGGTTGGTGGGCGCCAGTTAGCGGGTGGGTCACCTCTTTGTGTGGGCGCGAGACGACGCAGTCAGAAGGCGGAAGAAACTCAGCTAGAAGAAGACAAATTCTTGCTGGAAACCACAAGGACAAAACATATCTCGAAGGAAGCAGTTCAGGACGACGAACTGGGATTGAGTGTGTTCTCAGAGGTAAATAGTTTAAGAAATCCTATTGCTCACATTCATCTCACATTCTGACGCCCGCCATATTCCATAAAGACAGCTGAGCCCTGGGTCGTTGCTGACTTGTGTGAGCGTGGAGATGAAAATGTTTCCCATTTTTTGTCTTGCTGAACGGCTGTTCGCTATCCTAGGACTGTGCTACTGTGTACTAGTTACGTGTATCGTTTATGCGCACAGAAAGACGACCAATTGGGCATTTTAGGTAGTATCATTTCAGTCGTATGACAGTGCATTATCATTAAATATTTAGTAGGTCTATATCTTTTCAGGAAGAAGGAAAGCAGGCATTTGCCCATTCATCCCAGACCTAATTAGGCCTGTAAGACACCTTCCGGAAACACCGAGCCGTGGAAAGTTACCTGTATTTTATGTTCTTCACGTTCTACCCTGAGTGAAGAACACTTTCTGGGGCATCCCATGTCTGTCTGTCTGTCGCGTTTTCCTAGGAATTAGCAACCCGAATGACCCGGGGTCATAGTTGGAACATATTGTCGAAACATTGGGGACCGAGGTCATTGCTCGCTCACAACAGTGGCCTGGGCTCATATCGGAGTTGTGTCCGTGAATACCATTGCTGCATTTATTATTTGTTTCTAGTAAGAGCTATGGAAGTCCACAGTTATGTAAGCCGTGGCTATAAACAAAGCAAACTGCTGACGTCACCGCTTGTGATGTGGAGTGGTGAAGAACACTTTTGGAATTTCTGTGCACTCTGTAGAGTACGCCTTTTCATTCTTGTTATTTCCTCCAGATGATGGTAAGGCAGCAGAAAGCCGAGTTAAAGGAGTGGGAAGTATTTCCCCTGGTCTTGACTTAGGCCTACTTAAGAAGCTGGAGGCGGGTAAGGACTTGTACCCTAGTTGCGACACATCTGTTTGGCTTCGATCATGTTCCCAGGAGGTAGTGGAGCCTCTAGAAGGGAGAGTCACGGGTGAGTCTGAAGCATGGAAGTCTCTTAAGCTCTGTATCGGTACCTCGCTGGTCAGTCATACACCGTGACCACAAAATAAAGTACAACATTTTGTCCATGTTACATATTGTAAAACGAATTGCTCTGCAAGAATGGTCGAACATTCAAGTCTCCCACCATACAGCTGGAAATTTTCAGGTCTTCCTCTAGGGGCGTGGCAGTTAGATGAATTAGTAATGGCGGAAAACAGTGGATGCGAGTGTACGATTTGCCATTTTACACCACTGACACTTGACCTCAAATCCCTGATGATGAAGGCAGCAAGCGCCTCTGACACGTCGGTAAATTTCTACCAGACCACACGGCGCAACAACCCAGAAGACAATTATTTCATTACTTAAGTATGAGTAGGAGCTATACGCCTCTCCCCCAAGCGCCTACATGGGACAGCTTTTTACATTTACTGTCATCTTACCCGAGTATTTGAAACGGGATTGTTAAAGCAAAGTGTCATTGTTAATTATCTTTAACGGAGTTTCAGCAACAAACGAGTTCGTGGCATTAGAATGAAATTGTTGTTTCTTGCAGGTTGCATTCCAAAGTGGTTAAAGGGGTCACTTATACGAAATGGTCCTGGCAATCTAAAAGTAGGCGATATGACATTTGGCCACCTGTTCGATGGATCCGCGCTCTTGCACAGGTTAGGAATGGTCCTTTCCTGGGTATTCATACGTTGGTCAAGGACTTACGAATGACCTGCTTGTCCGATCTCTGATAAGATAAAATTAAATTAAATCCGTGGCGTAACAGCCCTCTGAGAGCCAAAGCCGACTAGCTGGCTGCTGGCCTCACGTTCACATGCCTAAGCAGAGGTGAACGATCATCCAACCAGATACAGGGTGACGTGTGGTCAGCACGACGAACCCCCAGCCATTGCTAGTTTGGATTACGCTACTCATTGTAGCTCCCCAATTTCCTCACGATGCTGGGTTGCCACCGGTCCCATACACTGGTCGAAAATCTCATGAGAAATTTCTTTCCCCGAGACTCGAACCAGCGCGCATTCCGTATCACCGGTCCGAAGCATGATGCCTCAGACCGCGCGGCTACGACGCGGGACCTCCGATAAGATACCAATTTAGGATAGTAAAAGTGCACTCATTTTCTTCGTCTTCTGTCCCCGTCTGTTGGTTTGCAGCAACTCGAGAACGGCTAAACGGATTTTCATTACGTTTTGTAACGAAGAATTTTACTTAAATTTGCAATCACATTCCTTCGCAAGCGAACTGTCAGCCGTCGTGTCTTAGAAAGTAAACGTTTAACGTGCACACACCATACGAACTTTCTGAATCAGTCAGAAGCCAGTGGACTTTGCACTCTTATTTATGACAGGTATGCACTATATTTTGCGAATTCTGGTGGCATAGGATTCGCCGTGAAAGTAACTACAGCGAAGATGTTTGGCGGCTGTGCCGCTAGAATTAGGAAATGCGGCACCCGACTCAGTGATTACGCAAAGCGGCAAGGCAGTGTCGTGCCACCAAATATCCTCACTAAGTACTGGAATCAGCGTACTCGTGATGCTACATAGTAAATCGACTTAAACGTGTAATTACTACGTACTTTAGCTTCATATTTGGCAGGTTATGGGTTCGATTTTCGGCCCAGAGGGTACTTATTTTGGATGATATTTTTCGTAGTTATTCCCATTGCCACTAACCATAGCGTAGCATCTCAGAATAGGATACGCGTAATTCGGATTTTGTCTTCATTACGACTTCTCCTTTCATCTGTTTTACTGTTATTATCATCATTGTCGTGATGTAAGTTATGTAAAATCCATCCGTCCCGTTTTCTCAGTTTCTCCCTCTGGCCTGGTATTCCATTGGAGTTCACCTTTCCGCTTTCAGGTTCGCAATTAATGGAGGTCATGTGACGTATCAGTCCCGCTTTCTCAAGACACAGACGTACAGACGTAATATGGCTGCCCAGAGGATAGTTGTTACAGAGTTTGGAACGAAAGCAGTGCCAGATCCATGCCAAACCATCTTTCAGAGGTACACGACTCCATTCTGAGTAACTGATACAAGGGAACATTGCGATGATGCTGTAGTGTGCGTAATGAAGATCAGGGGTTCTTGAACCAAACAGCCATGTCAACAAGTCCTGTTTAAAAGAATGTCAAGGAGCATTACAGTTTTATGATTTAATTTTTTTTGTAAATTTATGAAGGTCATTGTCCAACTATTTAGTAGTTATAGACCTATTTCGTGTATAATACTGCATTTCTAACCGTTCTTCGCAAGTGTCATGAAGAAATTTGCACACTTGTAATCATATTCACAGTCTTGCAGCAAACTTCACCATCTGCAAGTCATGACATTTTCTACATCGCCACGACCAAACAAAAAAGTATGATCAGTTTGATACTTTGGGGTGCAGACCCTGCGTGCGTGTTGGCGTTTCTTAGTCAGAATTTTTCTGTTTGATAGAGGTTAAACATGTTTGTGGTTTCCCCCAGTCCCTCCAGGTTTTTTTGGTGAAGTGCTTTAAATAAGCCGCGAATTTTCACATCCTTCCCAACTTACGCATTTATAATAAGCAATTTAGCTTATCATTCGATGTTGTTTTACATAATCAGTTTATAAAGCATCAGATAAGATATTGTAAATGCGTCA